TATATATATAAAGTCTAATTATTTATTAGAAGACAATTAAAAATATATAAATATATAAAGTTAATTATTTATTAGATAAGATAACAATTAAAAAAATTATTGAAACTTGATTGGTAATATATTTAATATATCTCACATTAGCATATTTATTGTCATTAAGAATCATGATTGCTTTATTTTACCTCTTGCAATAATTCTGTTTGCTCATTTTTTAAATAAGTTATTGTTGACGATTGTTTGTAGGATGTGGTGTATGCACTTGCTCACGCTACAGCTCAGACAGGTAGATTCACATTGGTAGAGCGTTGGCGAACCAACGAACGTTTGCTGGCTCCGTACGAGAATCCTCTTAAGGTAAAGGCATATCTTCTACATATACTCTGCATGAATATCATAAGCTGATAATATTGTATCATTAGTTAAATATAAACATCTTTAGTAAATCAAAATTAATATAATTGCATATTCAAAATGAAGAATTGACAATATATCGTTTACATTGATTAGATTTTGATGAAATGGGGCGAATACTCTTCGGAAGTTCAATTGATTCTGAGACGTTCCACGCCGGAAAATAAAACGAATGCATTACCGTCAAGACTAACGTATGCGTCGCGTGCAAATGGATTACCAATTTCATTACCTGAGCATGGAACAGGTACTGCTGCCATGCAGGACGATAGCAAAAATGTGTCAACCATGCAAAGTTCAGATTTCGATGATATGCAGGGAGGATTGGACAGAAATAGAGACACTAGGAAATCGCTTACATTCAGTGGGTTTCATGGAGGTATTACAGAAGGTAGTACAGAGGTAAGTCTACATTTTTAAAACATTTAGGTAAAAAAATATATATACAAATATATATTTTGTTGTAAATTCTTTTGAATCAGTAATGTTTATAAGATTGTGCCTTTACATTATGTCTTTGTTCACAATAATTTTTTGTAATTAATTTTTACTATATGTGCAAATAAAAATGTTATTTCAGATTCAAATGGAGAACAATGTGGCTGTAGTTCAGCCCACGCCACATTTAAAGAATAAGGATTTGAACGTTCGCAAAAATGTACAAAAACCAGCTCAGTCACCTACACGAGGAACTAATACTGAAAGTGAGTTATTCAATTGTAATTTATTATCTACATTAAGTACGCTGACGCATAATTTGAATCGTATTTCAAATTATATTTCATGCTACAATAATTCTCATAATATTAATCTCTTATTAATTTATCGTTTTTTTTCATTGCCAGTTGCAACACACTTGTCGCAAAAAAAGGTGCGTGAGGTTCTACCCTACAGAGAGCCTCCCGGCCCAGCTTCGCCACCCTTACGCACTTTGCCACCCTACCGAGATCCACCGCCGCCGAATTTAAACAGTCCTGGAAGATCGCAATTTGTGCACGGCAGCGGAAGTCCTCACGTGCACAAAGACGATCAACCGTCTTCTAGTAATTCCATAAAGTTGAAAAGGAATCTTATCCAGGTTTGTTAACTATAATTATATTTGATATAATAATGTGTTTTTTTTTTCCGCATGCACATTTAAAATATATTTTTTTGTAGGAATTTCAAGACACGAAAGTACCTACACAATCTGTTAATCCACTTTCTGTCACGGCACAAAATATGGCAACTGTCGCTTATACTCAACGATACGTTGAACTTATAAGACTAGTCAATAAGCAACGGGACACTATTAATGCTCAACAAGCTGATCTAACAAAAGTAAAATACCTTCTTTGATCTAAGATACCTAAGAATTTTTTAAAATAATTATTAATTCACTTAAGATTTATTTGATTAATCTGTCTACAAAAATGTACAATAAACTATATAATAATTATTCATTTTAGTTCGATGCAGAAATATTGTATTGGGAAACAAAGAATAGGGAACAAATGCATCAAATGGATTATATTTCTCAAGAAATGAATCGCATTGAGTCTACTGGTCGTATCATCGAGGAACAAGTAACTTTTTTCTTTTTTTTTTTCTAATATATATGATTACGTTATTGTCAGACGAATTATTAATTATTATTTATTTCAATTAGTTGAAAGAATTGGCTCATGTGGAAGAGGAAAGCGAAATAGTTAGGCAGCAGGAAAAAACACTGAAGTCAGAAATAACGTTGCTTAGATCAAAGCTTGCCAATTGCGAAACGGAGCTCCTTCAATGTAAAAATAAGATTAGGTAAATGCAAGCAATGTTTTTTTTATAGAGAAAATTGTAAAAGTTATTTGTTATCGTTATATCTCAGATATTCATTAACATTATTAAGGTATACTAGATATTCATTAACATTAATATAAGAGAGATTGCATTGCGAAAATCGATATGACGTAATAATGAGACTTATAATTACAGGCTAGTTATGGAAGAACTTGCGTTGGAGCAACACAATATAAGCCGTGAAACAGATGAGCGGCAAATTATGGAACGGAAAATAATCAGCGAGGTGGAGCATTTACAAAATGAGGTCGAGCAAGCTAAACGCGCGACTGAGTTAGCTTCGCAGCATGCAGAATCTTTAAAATTGGAAGTGGTTAACCTGGAGTCGGCCATCGTTGAGAAGAAATTACAGGTAGAGAGATTGGTAGCCGACATGAAAGAGGCAAATCTGCAGAGTTTGGCTGTTGCGTGCTCAGATGAGCAAGTCAAATCTTTATTGGAAGGTATTTACATCATATTATGTATATATGAATGTGTTGTTAAGTTCGTTTTGCATGTACAAATTGTTTAACGAATAAAATCATTCAATTATCAGGTGCCCATAAACCTGGAAGTACACGTAAGATGATAGGATCGCCAAGGCAATTGGAAACTGCAGTACCCACAAGTAAGAATCCACATGGTGTGTGGGTATAAGTAAAGAAACCGGTATACCTGATACTGTCTTATATGTGAGAAAGCATATCAAAGAATATACGTTAAAATATTTCTATTGTTTATATTGTTTGAAGTATGTTTGAAAACTTACTTTTTCTACATATCTTTTATGCATTTATTTTAGTAGTATTATTATTATGTGTGTCATCGATAAGTTTTTATCCTTGTGTATCTTAATCATCCCATTTATTCACAAAATATTTGTGAAATGAGATTTATAAATTTAACAGTTACATAAATGACGCGTATTTTTGAGTATACTTAATATATTCTATACATTTTGATGATTATTAAAGAAAAAGAAATTTTGCTTTTGAATATTATATGTATTTGTTAGTAAAATTTCTTTTTATGATCAAATTTATATCAATAGTTTTTTAGGTGTATAGATAATTATAGTTTACATAGGAAATAGTACGTCTAAAAATCAAAATTACTAGTACTCTCTATTAATATTGTGTACTTATATTTATATTTTACAAATAGCTATTTTATATTCTTTATAATATTAAGAAATATTTTGCCATAATAGATTTAATTATGGTTTTATACTTTTTCGCATATTATAATCACAAATGTCAATAGGTATTAGTATTAATGATTGACTTAATTACATGATATTTTTAATATTTTCCATGAATTATTAATGCCATGTTAACCGTGAGATACTAAAAATATTTGATAAGTTTGCATTTGAACTTTTTTTTGATTAATTAACTTAAAAAAAAACATGTTTAAAATTGCAAAAGGGTTTATCTGAAAAATCTTTAAAATCCAAAGTTTGCACATTCATGACTTTAATATGTGTATGACGTGAGACATGATTATATATTTTGATTTAAAAAGAATATTTTGATGCAAATCAACGGTTTTGGCATAGCATGGACAATATATCATAAATATATAATTTTTTATATGTAAATCCCGAGTATTTTTATGACACATGGATATTTTTATTAAGAACACATTTATTGTGTATACCTGTAGCTATAGAGTTGAAATGTATACATCTTATAGTATTAAATAGAAACGTTATAATTAATATCTGCAATATATTTGAACAGCGTAACTGCAGTGCAATAATTGGCACATGATCTTTGTCTCAAAAATAACAAATATAATTCTGTATGTATACATCCATATGCAGTTTATGCGTTCTATAAAAGTATCGTTCTAGTAAGAACCAGTCCTAGTTTAATTACTCTAGTTTAATTAAATTTTTCTGGCTAAAATAAATATCTGTTGCATATTTTATGAATTATTATTAATTAATTTTCCTCTTATTCTAAGAATTCTTATTCTATTCTTTTCCTTTCGTGTCGATTGGTCTTTTTCTTACGGTAACCTTCAATTATATATTATCAGTATGTACATGTAATTTAAATACAATATTATTTAATTAAATTACAGTATACATATGTAATTATACATATATGTACACATAAATATATAGGCTACTTGCCGACGGTTGCTAAAATCACTAATGTCTTGCAATAAACAATTTTTCAACCGTCGGTACGAGTCACGAATTCTTTTGTTGTGTAATACAGGGAGCACTTGACGTTGGAAATCTTACAATTAATTTTGGAATAACACTCGACGTTTGTGATAGATCTGCTTAATCTGCGATAAAATGAGTTTGTGGGTGGACAAATATCGTCCGACGACACTTGCGAAGCTGGATTATCACCTCGAGCAAGCGGAGGACTTGAAAAATATGGTAATATATTACAATACTGAAGCAATGGAACGTTATCTGATGAATGAGAGGTTAACCGGCTTTATAAAAGCGCGCCACCCGAAAACACAATGACACATATCGAATTTTTTCTCAAAATAGAGTGATGTGACAGTCGATGAACATAATTTTTTTGGAAATATGTATCACAAGTCTAAATACATAAAAAAAAATTAAAGCGGTTTTATAGATTTAAGTTATAATAATATAGATTTATGTTAAAATGTATTAAAATGATATATTTATATAAACTAATTGGTTTTAATATAAATATAAATTAATATTTACTTAAAACGCTTGCGAAAATACAAAATTATATCGACTTGGCTATAGCATAAGAATTTGAATTATTTTGATTTTATTTCTATTTAAAAAAAACAGGTGCAGAAACGAGACTTTCCACATTTATTAGTACACGGACCCTCTGGCGCAGGAAAGAAAACTCGAATATTATGCATTTTAAAGGAACTTTACGGAGTTGCGGCTGAGAGATTAAAAATAGAAAACATGCAGTTTGAGGTAAATTTATTTTGTTCTGTTCCAATTACATTAAGCTGTCATTAAAAAAAATTTTTAGTTTTAGCACATTTGTAATCATTTGTATTCTACAGATTACATGGAAAAATATAAAAAAATAAGAAAAATATATTAAAATATTATTTTTGATACTTTCAGACACCGTCTAAAAAGAAATTAGAAATATTGACAGTAACCAGTAATTATCATACAGAAGTAAATCCGAGCGATGCAGGAATATATGATAGAATTGTTGTCATGGAATTAATAAAAGCGACTGCTCAAACGCATCACATAGACATAGGCCAGAAGGATTTTAAAGGTATTTAAGAAAATGTTATCAAAACATTCTAAACATGTTATAGAGATATTTTGTATGATAAAAATATTATATAAAGACTAAAATTATAATATTACATGGTACTATTAAATAGTTGTACTGCTGACAAATGTGGATCAACTTACGAGAGATGCGCAGCACGCGCTTCGTAGGACGATGGAGAAGTACATCGGTACGTGCAGGTTGATTCTTTGCGCGAACTCGACGTCGCGAGTCTTGCCTGCGATTCGATCGCGTTGCGTGCGAATCAGAGTCCCCGCGCCAACCGCCTCCGAGATCAAGAGTATTTTGCACTCGATTTGTAAACGCGAAGGACTTACTCTGCCCGATGCGTTTGCCGATCGGCTGATTGAAGCTAGCAACAGAAATCTTCGACGAGCAATACTAATGCTCGAGGCTTGCAAAGTTCAGCAGTAAGTAATGCTACATGTATATATATATGCATACATACATGAAAAATGTGCTGAATTTTAACAAATGTTTACTACCTTCTTAGCTTTAAAAATTCTCTTTTTTTTTTAATTTCTTAGCTTTAAAATTTCTTTTTTTTTTTTAATTTTTCAGATATCCGTTTATCGCTGATCAAGAGATAACAGAACCGGATTGGCAAGTATACATACGACAAACAGCCAGCATGATGGTCTCCGAACAATCTCCCAAGAGACTTTTAGACATACGCAACAGATTTTACGACCTGTTAACGCGCGCTATACCATGCGACCTTATCTTTAGGGGATTGTTGCAAGAATGCATAAAAAATTGTGACGATCAGTTGAAGAAAGAAATTATCGATGTCGCATCGGAGTATCAGCATAGAATGATACGTGGTTCGAAACCTATATTTCACTTGGAAGCTTTTGCCGCGCGGTTTATGACGATTTACAAGAAATACATTGAATCGTCCTTGGATGGTTTTATATAAAACTCTGTCCGCGTATCGTCTGTACTTTTAAAATCAAGTTTTAAAATATTTTTTTATATCTTTGATAAAACGATATGATATAGTAAGTTTTTATTTAAATAATATGTTTTAATATTGGAACGAAAGTCATGTAGATTTCATGTAATCACTTCTGTAATTTTAAATACAAGTTTAATATTACCTTTTTGCAAAAATAAATGTAAAAATTATACTTATTCACGATTCCAAATTGAATAAAAAGACATTAGTTTTAATAAATTATTTCATTCTGTAATTGAAGCATTAATTCAATACAATATAATCGTAATACAATTACGATTGATGATACAACTAATTTTAAAGAATTATTTCCTGATAAATGTACGACATTTACATCGTCGCAAGTGCAAGTGCAGAAATTATCGCCAATGCAGATACCACATATCCAGTGCTATAAACTTCCTTAATCGATAGAAACATTCCTAAATCCCAAGCCTGTAAATTTATAAATTACATACATGATAATTCATTGATAAAGTGTTAATATATAAGAATATAGATAAGAAGATATCAATAATATATAAGTTAATATATAAGAATATAGATAAGAAGATATCAATAAGATTATTGTGTCAATTTCTTTTGAGCACTAATAGAATAACAAATTGGATGGTAGTAACTGTGAATTTACATTGCTAATAATCCTGTTTGTTTTAAGATTATCTAAAACTATTTTATCTTTACATAAAATCACATACCAAATGACGTATTCCATTGAATGTATGATAAGTAGCAGGCAGACCAAGTAACACCTTGCTAGCGAACAGTACCGGCAAAGGTAAACATAAGTTATCCACTATTTCTATGACGCAAGGGATACCACCTGGTATAAACAATGTGCCTAAAACATAAAATTTAACAGAAAAACATTCAACATTCGAATATGTTTGTGTGGCACATTAGCCGATAAAACGAAATTGAATAAGATCATATGTGTTACCTAAGCCAAGAAACATTGCGTAACTGGCAAGTATCATGCCGGTGGTGCGATGTGTTATCGAGAGCACCGTCGTTAGCTGAACTTGATAGATGGTCAAATGCGGCGACATCGGTCTCTTCAGACGCATATTCTTCTCATCGTGGGATTCGTATGCCGCGTTTGACAGTAACGGTTTGGAAACCGTGGAGCTGAGGGGGCTAAAACGCACACACAGTTTATCTTTACGTTACAAGACGCAATTAATAAAAATCAAAGTGGCAAGATTTATGTAGACGAATATAAGAAATTTTATTAAAGCTACGCCAAGTGAGTAGTGCTGTACTTAATGTATAATACATTAAGTACAGCACTACCATGGCTATATCATAAATAATCATGGCTATTTTTTTCGTAGAAAATTATAAAAATTTGATGTCTGCATATGACAGTTATGTAAATAAGAGGTTACGTATTGCATAAGAACTCACCTACACGTGTACAAGCTCCGAAAATGTCGAAAATCGACATTACGCCGGCAGAGAAGTCTAAAAAAAGCGGAACGTTGTTTTTGTTACAACCGGATAAATAGATTTTGTAAAAAAAATCCAATTTACGACATACCTCGTATAGACCAGCGCCATTTTTGTTGACGTTTGTAAATACTAGGCGCTGTACTTTCGACAGCTGATAAGAGAGCGTGTTAAATCGCGGATATATATTTTTTTAATATAACTGTAGCAGGATCTTTAATTAACGCAATAAGCAACGTCGTATCCTTAAATGTCATAAATAATTTTAGCTGATGTAAACAATTTTCACAGCGGAAAATTGTTGGCTAAATTCAAGTAAAACTTAATGATTTATGAGGGAGAAATATCATTTCTCCCTTATTACCATAAGGGAGAAATGATACGATGAAATTTCTTGCGCATCATTTGTAAATCTAGAAAATTTGAATGAAACAAAAAATGGGATCGCTTAATTTAAAACGTAATCATCAGGTTCGCCTGTACATATCCCAATTTGTGACATAATATGAGGGTTTTCTTGAGAATTGTTAATTTAGTACTCTTATCGGATCCTCTTTTTTTAATCATTAGATTTCACTTATATTAATTAACTTGATCATACATGAACAGTATTTCTAATAACGTTTAATTAAATTTCATAAGGTGTGTATCGAAATTAGGATTTTTAATAACAGAGACTTCATCAAGAATGGTGTAACTGGTTTATCACTGTTACATCCCCATAAATTTACAGAATATTAGAATATAATTAGTAGAATTCACGCATTAAAATCGTATTTTCACATTAAAGTACAGAAGTACATGTACAAGCTACATGATCTCCCCCCCCCTTTTTTTGGATTGAGACATATTTCTCAATTTCTAAAAAATCACAACTAAAACTCTTCTTTTTTTTCTATCTTACGAATATCTATACATCAGTTTATCAGTTGTAACATCGCTGCCGATTATTTATTTGTGCTTACCAATGTTGTACTCAATCGTGCTAGCGAGTGTACTAATCTACGAGCTAAAAGATTGCACTATTTAACATTGTATTATTTTCGGCGGTCTTTCCCCATTTCGTTGCTCCGCCGACACATGACCGACGCATGTTGTAATATACATTGTAACGCGGGACCATTTATAAGTCGGTAAACACCTTTTTATTTAACTCAGAAATCAGAACGTCAGGCTCTGTAATGGGTAGAGTGCACGAATGATCGCGGCATACGAGGACCGTCGTCCGCTTTGCAAATGTCTCCGGCTTCAGTTTTTTAACAATCATATTCTTACGGGCCAGTATGTTGTTGTCGGAATCGGCTAATATAAGCACTCTACCAGGTATCAGACGCGAGCGGATTATTTCCAGCATCTTAATCGTCTCCTCGGAATCCGCTTTGCCCGCAATATAAATCTGGAAGAGCAAAACCGATTGTACAGTAGAAATGTGTTAAGAGCATTCACAGTCTCAGCGAAAGCGCCGTTGCTAGCGGCATAAGACAAGCAGAGGCACACACATACACACACACACCTGCGTCGGATGATGATATTCGATCAACGCTAACATCATTTGTGGACACGCAGCTGGACAGTTCACAAGTTTGTTGCCGAACGCGCACAGAAGTTTTTCAGCTTTATTCTTGAATTCGTCGCGATCCAAGTAAATCGCTAGGCGCAGCAGATTCGAACATGCAATTGAATTGCCGGATGGTTGCGCGCCATCGTCAGCTGTAACAGAAGACATTAAATTATGTTCATAAAGTTTAGACTGAAGATCTATACTGACAATTGAGACCCCGAGATAATCAACAGCGTTATCTAATTAAATATTTCGATATGATATAATCTTTATTAGGTAGAATTAGATTTCGTTTGACTTTATTTGCTTGACATTGCGACCACATGCATTAATTAAATTTTGATGTTAAACGGTCAAATTAAAATTACTAGAAAAGCAGCCAAACATACAGTCTTTCGTTTGTGCGAGTATCGGCTCCTTGGCCATAGCAAAGTAACCGCCGTCATTCCGATCCCAAAATAATCGGTTTTCGATATCCTGCAGTTTTTCAGCAAGCTCGAGCCAATGCGTATCGAAGGTGGCCTCGTACAAATCGAGCAATCCCTTCGTGAAGAACGCGTAATCCTCATGGAAGCCAGGTATCGGGACATTCCTGTGTATTTGCACAGTCATCATAGATCTCGCATCGTAATACTGATACGGAGATAAGAGATCACTCACCTTTGTACAATTTCGTCGTTATCCTTCCTGCGGTAACAACTGCGAAGTAGTACACGTTTATCTTCATCAAACAGATATTTCTCCACGAATCTGGCAGCTTCCGTCGCTGCATCAACATACGTCTTATTTTTTACGGCTATTCCAGCACGCGCAAGGCCACTTATCATGAGACCTGTAAATAGATGACAAATCGTTAGACGTTACGTTGGAAACGCGCGTCACGAAATCCATCACGGCACGATAATGGCACGAATTATTATTCATTACCGTTCCATGCTGTGACGATCTTGTCGTCCAGGCTAGGACGCGGTCTACGTTCTCTCTCTTCGTACAACATCTCGTAGGCTTGTTTAAGATATTTCTGTGTCTCCTCTGCGCTAAACTTGAAATGGCTAGCGGTGTCTTCCACCCCCGACTGCATCGAAAGTACATTTTTGCCTGTAAGCTCGCCATGAGGATCCTGCGGGACAATCGCATTCACAAATTTTGCTTTATATAAGTATTTGTTGTTTCACGATATCGATATCGTATGCAAAACATACTTGTGGCCTTTCCACATTTCCCTCCTTCCGCACTGAGAACTGTCGGCAGACAAGGTCAAAATACGTAACATTGTCCTTACCAGGTACTTTCTTTTTTAAAACACTCTTAAGATTGTCATAGGTCCAAACATAAAACGCTCCCTCCCGTTTCACTGTGGCATCAGCCGTAGGTAGCGAATCCGCATCCTCCGCGCTGAAGAAGCCACCTTCCTGAATAACGTACATGCTGTAAATATTTTATATCCTCCCACATGTTTGTCGCTCTGTACAACTTTGATTTCAAAAGGTCTAAGTGAGGAAAAATATTTCTCGTAAGTTAGAATTTCGCAAGCATTGTATCTAGGATGAACATACTAATGGACGATTAAAATGAAAAAGCAGTATAAGTACCGGATGTTGCAGCATGCGTAGAACGTACGATCCGATGTCCTCTACAATATCGGCAAAAAAGGAATCTTTTGTGATGAGATACGCGTCGGCGTAGCATTGTATTAACTGAGCCTGATCGTAAAGCATTTTCTCGAAATGAGGAACTTTCCATTGAGAGTCGACGGTGTACCGGTGAAATCCCTGAAAAACAAATAATTTAAGCCAACCCGATTCGCGTTATAATAACAAAAACTGACAAACGAGCCTTACTTTTCCTATGAAATCGTGAATTCCACCATAGGCCATTTTCTTCAAGGTATTCAGACATGCATTTAAAGTCATCTCGACCAACATGGCGGAAGTAGTTAGAACATGCATTCTGAGGAGAAAATTCAAGTTGCTCGGCTCGGGAAATTTCGGCGAGTTCGGACTCATAGCGGCTGAACTGCCAAACCCGCCGTCATCCGAATCGTATATGTTCAATAGGATGTGAGCGCACAAGAAAGCGCAGTCAATCGCGGGAACTCCATCGTCCTGTAATATAGAAATCAACGAATAAAATACGACGTTGAAATTAATTTTAAATTTTCCAAATCTTTCAATATATTCATTCGTTCACTTTTATGTCGTGCCTGCTCGTGGCCAATTCCTTCAAACGTTCTGCTATGGTAGCGGCAGATTTAACCATTTTGTCTCTCCCTTCCGTCCACTGGAATAAAAGAAAATATGATTTACAAGCCTAATTTCGTCCTACGGAACAGGACGAAATTAATAACACGATATGCGCATGTACATACCTCCTTCACAATTCGTGTCAAATACAGCGTAAACATTTCACGGCTGAAATACGTTCCGCCCGTTATCGGCATCAAATCCGGCGTCAGAAAAACGTTCAGCGGCCAACCGCCGTGGCCTCTCAATCTCTGTAGATCCATCAAATGTAGATATTTTCGTTAATACATTCAGCAAAGTTAATAAACAATTATAAGTAACATATAGTTATAAGGAACATGTTACGCTTAATATATTTATTAAATGTTAAGTATCAGCGAATCAATAAGCGTCTCGTGTACAAAACATACATTTAGACGTTTATTTTTATATCCTCGGACTTTGCACGATGCATAGCATTAAATTTGATCCTTGCCTGAATAAACATCATGCACATCATGTCGATGTCAGGCCTCTCTTCTCGATCCACTTTGATACTAACGTAGTTCTCGTTCATGATTTTTGCAACTTCCTCGCTCATAAATGATTCCTTCTCCATCACGTGGCACCAGTGGCACGTAGCGTAGCCGATTGACACGAAAATTATCTTGTTCTCCCTCTTTGCCTTTTCCAGAGCCTCGTCGTCCCAGGAATACCAGTCCACGGGATTGATTGCATGTTGCAATAGATACGGTGATTTCTCCAATCTCAGGCGATTCATCTTTACTTCAGGCTTAGGCACGTCGGAACTTTTGCTATCCTGTCGAGATGTCGATGCCTTCTTGAGGGATGACAAGAAGGAATCTGAAGACCTAGTTATTTTAAACATATATGTAGATAATAATCTTCAAATTTTAGTTCTTATCAAATACTAAGCAATATGAATATAATATAAAATCGTGTGCATGCATGTGTAACATAATTACTTCTTCATTTTGCGCTCAATAGGGAGTAGAGTACTTTGGATGAGATGAAAATTTTTACGACACCCGTATGCTCCTGTATTGCACTGTTTCTTAGATAGCTCAGATATGCAGCGAAGTGATATTGAACTACATCTTCCCGAAATCATAACACGCCTGGCATGGAGGGCACACACAGCAAAGATGATCCTATAAATATAATAATACATACCATTGAATAATTATTAAATTATTACTATAACTAATATTATTAATTATTAATATTACACTAAGTATTAAACTGAATAAGTAGTATTATAATAATGTTGCTTATTTAACAAACAATATGCATAATAAAAATAGATTGGTAAGTGGTGTTTTTGAATTCAAAAAAGGGGATTTTTAGAAGTTCAAATTCTATGCATTGTAACATGTATATAATTGTTTAGATGCGTCTAAAATAAACAGCTAAACTTGAGCAATCCATTCTAAAATATCCTACGTACACAGTGGTCCATTTATTATCTACTATCAATGTTCAATTTAGAAGATATATTAAATTTAAATGGACAATTGACTATATCATTGAAAATGCATTAAAATAAGAAATTTATTCAGAAAGACGAGTAGTATTTTACAAGATACTGCAACTCGTGGATCACGATAAGCGAACGTATTCAGAAACGCTCGGGGAGCAGTTATCAAAATTCGCGGGGTATCTGATATCAGATACAAAAGCAGAAAATGGCGAATCTACGTTTCTACCAGACGACTGTCATTGCATGACAGAGCGATATTCAGCTGTCGCGAAATCATCTGCCAGCCTTTCGACGGCGCGCGATTAGATAAAAACATGCATACCCACCGATAACGGCGATAAGCGTACACGAGGACTGTCACGAGTGTCCAATCTTCTTCTTTTTCAAAGGGTTAGCGGCTCTCAGAATGGGTCCACTTTGACTAATGCTAATGCGTTGATTAAATTAAATATAGTGTAGATTGCACCTTCCTTCGGTACGAAATTATACGTAGGTCTTTTGCGGAGAACCTTCAAACAGCTGATTTGGATGATAAAGCGCAATATGTCAATATGTATATGTGTATTCCGAAACGCAGGTGATGAGCGGCGAGCTGGCGGCACCAGTCACAAATCGTCGCTAAGGGTGCGTTCTCACTGAGCTAAATTAATGACGCTAAAATTAATGACTTCTATTCTATCTCCAGTTTCATTTCTAGTTTCTATCTCTAGAATGTTGAGTAACCTAAAAAGATATCTTTTCTAAGTACCATGGGACATATGGAAATAAATTTTGCGTAACAGAAAACGCGTAACGCTTTCGATTGGTTACGTGATACGCGTTACATGAAAAATCTCTGCCAACTCCACTTAGCAGAGACTCGAACCCCACTTAGCGAAGATTCAAACCCAACTTAGCAGAGACTCGAACCACATTTTAGTGGAGATTTGGAGTCGCGCGGCAAATTATGCAATAAAATATATGTTTTGATCGATTAATTCGTGACGCGCTCAGTGGGAACGCACCCTAATTCGCAACTAGTTAGTTTAGTAATCACCCGCTAGATGTAGTTTCTGAACGTAGCCCTGGATGAGAATACGATACGAGACTCCGGAAATCAATTTTCGGTGTTTGGAGTTCCGAGTGTAATCGTCTCTGTCGATCGACGATCTGACACATTCCAAACAATGCGATAGAACTGTGTGCAATAGAACTGGGAGGGGAGGGAACGCTGTTCGCTCGAATTATATCGGCAATTTAGCCAGAGAAAAATCGAGAAAGAGGATACACCGCGACGACGAGGAGAATGGCTGCCATACACCGGGAAGCGATACAAAAACAGATCCAACAGGACTGGGCTAATCGCGAATACATAGAAGTTATCACTGGCAGTATTAAAAAGATCACGGATTTTCTCAATTCTTTCGGTAATTCCCTATTAAATTCTTGCTCGCGAAACTGCCGACTTAATACCACATCTCAATACTTGTATATTTATATCTTTCTTTTTTTCTTGTTAGATATGTCTTGTAGATCGAGGATAGCGGTCCTCAATGAAAAGCTCACGACCCTCGAACGGAGAATAGAATATCTCGAGGCATGCGTAAGTGATTTGTATTTTTTTCTTATTCACATGTAATGCGCATTGAGCATATAACTTGTAAGCCTGTTCTGCATAGCTGAACACTGCTGGTTCACAGCTTACCTTTCTCTTTCTACGTTGAAAGAAGATAAACTCGTGAACTAGTGCAGCCAGTTTATTTATAAACAACAAGCCTTATTTTACATGTATCATAGAATCTTGGAATAAAGAATGGGTATTTATTGATGAAAATAGTGTAAACACGGACATACATGCTAAATGCGCATTAATCATCGTTATAAGCGCGTTCTGTGAATATAAACCTTAAATTACATTATTCAATTATAGAAAGTAATCTATTTCTTAATTGTACACATAATGTGGCATTTCCCTTGTGAGGTTGCTGCAAGGCAAAAATACATGCATTTTTATCTTTCATTATCTACTTATATCAATGATTTCATAATTCCGTTTATTTCACAGGTCACAAAGGGCGAAACGCTGACGTAATACTTCCACGTGTACTACACGATGTTCTTTTTACAATCCTTTTTATTTCCTGTATACTAGAACCTTAATAAATACATGACGAAAGCGAGCACACGCGCATTTCGTATTTCTCTGTATCATCAATTGTACAATATGATTTATTCCCACATCTGACTCGTAAATCAGCAGCGTTAACTAATCCCCCTTTCTGTACATGAAATATCGTTACTCCCAGGGTCTGGGTCCTCGGGTATCTTTGATGAGGGTGAAGTCGAAGGGGAAAGTGGTATATTGCCGTCGTATTTCCGGATTCAACGGAAGGGGATTCCAACCGCTCAAGTCGCCGAACTTCTTGGTTACGGCGCATCCGATTATTACCATTGTGAGATGATAGGAGAATGGGCCGTTCTTCAGCCAAGGATAGCTGATCCCGCCTGCGGCTAACGCTGCAACGAGCAAACAACGACATTCGATAACTCTCCGATTATAACTCTCTGGCGAACTGATCGTTGCTGATCGCACGATCCATGCTTTACGTACAGGCCAGAATGTAATTGAAGTAGCCGTCCTTTCCCCTGATTTTCGTCGTTGCGTACGCCACGGAGGCGAAGGTGGCGCACATGGCAGTGACAGGCACCACCCAGAAGGACATGCAGTTCACCGTCTGCCAGAAGCCTGCCGTCTGAGATATGAGTATGCAGTCGTATATGCCCACCCCGGCACTACCGGCGAGCCCGTATTTCGTCAGCCCGACCACCTTTTCGAACGGCCGCTGACCCTCCGGGGCATTGCTGTACCTCCAGTTCTCCCACATATACGTTACTAACATGATTGAGGCTGAAACAGACATTTTGCCATGAGCAGATGTACGTAAAAAAAAAAAAAATAATTTATATGTTTCATTTTCGTATCCACAGTGAAGAATTCTGCTAGATTTCCGGTGATCCGTGATCAGTCGATTTTAATGTTAATTGATTAGGACATGTAGTGCGATCGCTGCAGTAATGTACGTCGGTATCGAAAAGCAGGTATCTACACACGGAATTCGATCTAATAATGCGTGGCTCAACCCAATGCTGATAGCTCATTACAATGTCGTGTTTACGACAACAGTTGTTAGATAACAGTTAAGGTCATTTGTTCGGATCTCTCGAGCGACGACCGCATCTCGCACGAATTACGTACGTCTACGGTGTGCCTCTGTCGTGAATTAACAATAGCATACTCCGATCCTATGCAAGCCGCGAGAAGGAGAAGCGTAACGAAATGCCGAGATGGATATATTTTAGCCAAAGATGACATAACCGGACGTGATGTTCTATATATATATCTATGTGTGAACGTGTACGCACCGCGAGTAAGTCAAGCTTTGTGCCAACTTAATTCGCCATAAAGCAGGCAGTGGCACGTCAGCCAGGTTATGTCACACCGTAATCGGAAGATATTTCAAAGGCGATCGTGCGATGTGCATGCGAGTTTCCGCAGTTCGAAAATAGACTTGGCTGCTGTCAGTGAAAAGGCGTACGGTTGGCAGAATTGAAAATTACAGGCGCTACGTTTCGTTTCCTTCACCGAGGAATCAATCAGCTGATGGAAGGACAAGATAAACTTAGGAGCAAAAAATTCAATTCTTACTTCTCATAAGATATTTCTAAGACGTAAGGAATATAACGTGCTAAATAACATTTGATATTTATATTTAATAAATATTAATATTTGATAAATAAATGTCAATGATTAATGTATTTATGTGTATTGAAATCCGCGATTTTTGTCCATATTTACGTTACGCCGACCAATCATTTTTCTTCCTTGATTGCTCGACTCCGGCCGGGCCGACCAATCAGACGTCTTTACAATTTCTGCTTGTCGCATGCTCGCCAACTGCAAAAATGAAATGCTCCGTGTGAAAGAACGAGGCTTGCAGCATTGCAGGACGGTGTTCATTGTCAAAAGGACGCTCGGATCGCCGTGTGCTGATAATCGTTTGATAGATATAATTGTTCGAGATCGTCGCGAAATGTTGCGCGTCATTGCGAGACGGGTACAGGTGCGTATTCGGACTCCGGACTAAACGGAGCTGTCGATCGCATCTCGTTAAACTCGTGTAGTCTGTAAGCCTTTAACCTGCCTGCCTAATTTGCGAGCGTTTCAATCGTCGCTGCTTTCAGGATGCAACAGTCGCGTCTTCGCGGACGTTCAGCGCGCAGAGACCGGCCTCGAGTACCGGCCAATCCACGGCGAATACCGACGTGCCAGGTCTCAGTCGGAATGTTGTCAGCGTTCCAGGCACACGTAAGCTCGAACAGCACTATGTGGGGATCATTCGCAAGACCGGTTTCAGCTTGAACGGAAAATTTGTTTAGCTGTAGGACCCAACGCCTCCAAGGATAAGGAATACAAGAATCCGGAGTACTTTTGCTATCACGTGGACTCGTTCGGGGAAGCTGAAGTAGAATTGGCAAAGTTCAGATTGCCAGTACCATCCAACAAGAGGCCATTCGATAAATGAATGGAAATAAACGATAGGAGGTTTGCAGACAGTAGAGACGAAGTAAGGAATTTGATAAGTTGAGAAAGTGTACAAAAGAGATGACGCGATGACGAGCTGTGTGTTCAAAACTGTGTTACATATTGCTTAAGAAAAATAAGCTTAATATGTTATCTATTCGTGTGATTTCCCCGTTTTCCACCTCATTGTTTTAGACTTGAGAACGAAAATACGTTTTGTTGAATGTTTTCAGGACTGTCGCTTATAAAACATGTAGAAACGGCATCGTGTAAATTTTTCAGCACTTGCCGAAACCTCGGACGAATCTCGCTCGGTTGAGAATCACTGTTTCGGAGTGTTTATTTATATGAAGTTCCGAATATAGTTCGTGCACAGTCGGACTTGATCGTACCGCCGCGCCGTCTCGGTTTCCCTCTCCGCCGCCCCATATCGTCGGTCACAGCTGACTTGCTTCCACGTAGAAACGTGCCAACCATACGATTCTTTGGTCCATGGTATAATGGGCTAATGTATATAACGATGCCGGCGTGGTCGTCACGCCATAGTCGTAGTCGCCAGGCCGCGTAAAGTCGGCTAGCCCGGTCTCCAACGCGTGAGAGAGTGCAACGCAACGGTGACGCGTCCGCGCGACACCCGAGAGGCGAGAAAGAGCCGCTCGACGACGAGAAGGTCCCGGCGCCTCCTCCAGTCGCTCTCAGCTGACGTCACGCCGATCTACCCGTTATCATTCTCGTTCCTTTTCCCTCCTTTATTTTTCCCCTCACATTTTCTCTCCCCTACTCAGCCGACGGGCCGGCCGTCGAAGAACGGGACCCTGGATCCGACCGGCGAGTGCTCGACACGGAGCGCCTCGCCGATGTGAATCCACTCCGCGGAGGTTCGTTCGGGCGTTCTTCAGCACTTCGTCTGTGCCTTCCTAGAATTACACGCGTGTGCTCCAGCGATCCCCAGGCATGTCGTCCGTCGCGCGGAACCGGTTCCTGTCGGCGCTGAACGTCGCACGGCGCCTCGCCGCCGCCGCCGCCGACCACGCGCCCGTTGCACACATGGGCGTGCGCCGCGGGAATGCGGCGTGTTGGAGGTGAGACAGAAGCGCGTTAAAATACCGCGTGACGATCGCTCTGCGGCGAAAAACATTTTCAATTTTCTCAATGGCATAGAATTCGTAAAAGCCTTCTTCGAGGACTTGTACCTCGACCGCGACGAGAACGATAAGTCTGGCGAAGAAGTGCCTTGTCACGTCCCGATGATCCGCAGAAAAAGCGCGAGAGAAGATGAAAAGTGAATCTCGCACGTGACGAGATTTGTTATAGGAAAATTTAGAAAAAATCCGCGAAACGGAATGGGAGAGAGCTTTTTAAATTTAGATAAGAACGAGAAGATATAATTGCTGAATAATTCTGATAAATTCTTTCTTCAGCTGTGTGATTTAAGAGTATTGACCTTCGTATCTTATTCTGATTCGAAATATTTTCACGTCTACTCTTTATGCGTCTGGTGACTGGACACCGCACGTTTTTTGCGACCCACATCATCCTTAAAGATTTTTTTTCTTTCTCTCCTTTTTATGATCTCTTTCAATATCTATTAAATCTTCAAACTAATTAAGGGTTTCTCCATTAACTAATTAATTTTTTACCAACTAATTAATTTCGATCCCATTTAGCGACACAAGCATCATTCTGTCATTTGTTAACATCCAGTAACGGCAAGGATAGAATGACGCTTTATCACTTAAATGAAAAGCACATCAAATCATGGTCAAAAGTAATCACTGAAAGTCGATAAAATATTAAAAATTATTCGAGTATTGATTGGCCCCACATTCCTTTCCAATTAACGATCGATTAATCTTTACTTTAAAACTACCATCGAATTTACCTGAAGAATCTCTCGCGATAAAAACGTGTGATTTCTAGCTGTAACGAGATCATGAAGAACGATCGGTCGATAGCATCTCGTCGTTAGCATGTCAATGCTTAGTTGTCATGCAAATCGTTGACGACAAAAAGAGACTTGTGAGAATCAACAAGCGTTTTCTTCTCCGTTTCTCTCTCTATCGAATACACTTGCGAGAAAGCAAGTTTCGCACTATAAGCGGAGGTCATTTTATGAGCGTTTAATGAGCACCTGTGTGTTAAGATCCCTTGTTGATTTTTCACGAATATAATCGTCGCAGATGTATATACGAGAACATGCGAACGTATGTATATGCTATTCTTGGACGGATCCGCGAAGATCGATTTTGCTACGAGAGAAAATTTTATTGTAGAAATCTTGTTTTACCTGCATTCACAGCTCATATCATTCGATCATCGATGCTTCAGCGATCCATTTAATAATTTTATTTTCTCTTACCCCATTAATTAAAGCTTTTTAGTCTGTTTACAACATATATATTCACAACTGAAATTAATTGGCTCTGTTAATACAGCTGATTTCAAACGCGGACTCTTTGTTTTGACAAAGTGTTACCTATAAATACATTTTTTATTTGAAATGTTTTATCGGCAAATAATAGTCATCATACAAATGCAAATATGTATACATATATAGAATAATGTGCCACATTTTTGTGGGAATAAGAATCACTGTGAGATCACAAAAAATTTGATAAACCTTATCTTGTATATACATCTACAATTATTATACGATTAAGCACGTTTGTGCATCGGAATGTAAAATTCAACGAATTAGAAATAAGGTTTAATAAAATTGATTCTTCAAAAAATTCGGTAAATACAATTCGACAAAAATAAAATTAGACGATGCAAAAATTTAAATTTCTTAAGCTTTGCTTGAATCTCCATTAACTTTTATTCGCAGGTATTTCGAGGGAAGTCCTATACTTATTGCATTCGTTATTTTCGATCGGTTTTGCAATTTGCACGCACTCGCGTGTGTACACACATTTCTGATAAGAGGAATGAAGTCTCATATGACTCATGACGCGTTGATAGCGATTGGCAACGTGTTACAAAATGAAAGCTATTTTTGTATTAAAGAGCGTTCCCCGCGAGACGGTTCCCGCGAGATACGCTGTGAATGCTCTCGCACACATGGACGATCGCTCTCGGAGCTCGGAACGCATTTTGTTAGATCATTGATAAAGTTGTTTACTCGACGTTGTTCCACGCTCGCATTCTACATGCATGCAGGAGCGACGCGCGTGACGTCTGCAACGTGCGCTCGTACTTACGTCGTGGTTATCACGCGGAACGTCGATGGCGTATAGATAAGTTGATTTCCTCATCTTACCTTTCCGCGTTATTCGTTTTTATTAGCGCTCTTTTGTCGTACAGCGAGCAAACAAGGACTCTATTGACACTGACGATTATCGCATTGGCTGCGAACTTTATCGCGCGTATTTCCGAATATTTCTAAGAATTATGTTTCTTATTCAGAAGAGCGAACGATTATTTGATACGGAAGTGCAAGGGATCCGGAAAGTCGCCACATGATTCAGCATAATTATCAAGATATTTGCGGAAATTCTGGATGGCCGTGAAATTAATTATTGTATTTTGCACGTTGTACTGCGTCGCGAATGTTGTGATAAAATACAGTCAAATTTCACTTTGCGAAAGTACTAGTCAGCCATGGAAAGTTTTCCATCGATTTCGCATTCGACAGCCGCGCGATATGAATTGTCAGTTATCAGTCTTTCGGCATGATTATCAAAATATTTGCGGAAATCCTGGATGGCTATGAAATTAATTATTGTATTTTGTACGTTGTACTTACTGTGTCGCATATGTTATACGATAAAATTTTACGTTGCGGAAATCCTAGTCAGCTGTAGAATTTTCTTTAAAGTCAAATCGATTCCGCATTCGATAGACACTCGATGTAAATTGTCAGTTATCAGTAATTATTCGGCATGATTATCAAAATTTTTACGGAAATCTTGGACGGCTATGAAATTAAATTATTGTATTTTGTATTTATCGTGTTGCATATGTTACACGATAAAATTTTACTTTGCGGAAATACCAGTCAACTATGGAATTTTCTTTAAAGTCAAATCGATTCCACATTCGACAGTCGCACGATGTAAATTGTCAGTTACAAATTAAAGTTGTTGTTTGTACAATCGATATCATATTATCGCATTATTATCGTTCGAAACATAATCTATGTAATCGTAATGCAGCCTGGTATGACTTGTAACAGTTGAGGTTGCAGTTAGAACGTAGATAAAAATAGATGTCAACGCAAATGAATTCGACAATTACTTATGCATGCGAACGAGTGCATGTTTATCAGCTGACGAAGTCCAGAGGTTTACACAGATTACAATCTGTTTACTCCTCGGATTTCCTAGTTTATTCCAAAGCTTTGTACATTTAATTTAAAATAGATATACGTCAGTAATAATTTTTTTATTTATTTTATTTTATTTTATTTTTATTAATGCACATTCCGAACGAGTCGCTCTGCTATTGAAATCTTATCAAGATCTCTGCGGGATCACGTTTGTTGAATCAGGCTGGTATTTATAGTCGGTTTTTATTTGAAGATCTTAAGTAATATTTTAAGATGTTAATACGGCTCTGATTGGCTTCTGATCGTATTTAAAACGATCTTAAATATCAGAATTGACTATATAAATATCAGCCAATAAAATTTATAGGACGGATCCTGTGCCGAAGAGCTCTCGAAGTGCGTCTTCGAAAAACAGGTTCTGATCAAATTTCCATACAGTTCGTATCCTTTTATTTATATACCTACGATTTTAATAGCAAAACGGTAAATGTCTCTTGAGTTCGTTTAGAAGCGCGATGTATCCGCGTTGCGTGTCGCGGATTGGCTTCTTGCGTTGACCTTCGCCTCGGCGCTTATTTTGCCGATTGCCGGATGCTGTACCGCGAGAAACATCTCACGCATTCAGAATTAAACACCGCTGTCTTATATAAATAACGTTTCCTGCGGAAGTGTAGACGTAAAATCAAATTCTAAATCAAACCTCGACTGAAGTGTATGAATAAACTTTATTTCATTAGATTCTCCCTTCAACAACTTGAAGTCGTTATTGCCAAGCTCAATCGTTCTTTCTCCGAATAAATGTCCCAAATCGAGTTTAATAACATTACACCTGGACAGATGTGAAGGTATTTAAACTTGGACATAATTTTAAATAATAGAAATTTACATCTCGGCTGTCTAATCTATTCTGCTGTGATACCGATTCGAACGATATTCGAAATTGTATATAAAATTTGAATTTTAAATTATATGATAGTTATCAGTTTATTAAGTTCTCCGACATTTATTTGCGTGATTTTTTAAATTATAATATATCGTACAGGAAGTAACTCAGGTTACAGAGAGAGGTGGGTTCAAATTAAAATTTATTTTATTATTTATATAACAATTATATAAATGCGCAGAACGTTTTATTGTTCACGTGAACTGTATAAGTATGTATAATATAGTTTTGTATTGTTATTGTAATATATATAAGCAAAGAATAGGAATATTTTCAATTGGCTCTCTTTTCCTTCATAAAAAAGCTTCTTGTAAGGCAAAGTAAAGAGTCGGACAAATGAAAAATATTGAATTTATTCTACAAACAAATGAAATATAAATTCGATAAGGGACACCGATTTCATTTTTTGCCATTAAGCTATTCTTTTCGTTAATTTATCGCAACAACGCGATTCGCACGCATGTTGAAGCGATCGTCAGCATCGTCATTGTCATAATCATAATTTTTAATTCATTCGTTACATTTTTAGAACATTGGATTGTAATGTGCGAATGGTGCATTCCGTGACACAACCGACATGGGTAACGAGCAAGGACGAAAGCCGAGAGCTGATGGCAATATGGCCAGACATTGTTCGCGATCTTACGGATGTGGCTAAGAGCTTCAATATTCCTGATGTTACCAAATGGATGGCGAAAGTAAGTTGTTATTAATTAAAATACCGGACAATGGTCTCAGATAAACATATGAAAAATGAGAATAAAATTCATACGATCGATTATAGAATAAATGTTGTCAGAATAATTACATAATATAAATATGACGTAAGATTTCGTAATATATTATTAATGAATATACAAATTTATAAATTAAAATTTTACTCTCTTATAACAACATAATATATAAAATTGTAATTGTAAATTAAAATTAAAACTTAAGATTGATAGCTAAAAAGAAATATATAAATAAATAAAAATGAGTAAGATTTAGTAGAAAATAAAAAAGTCGAGTGCGTTTTACTAATACATAAACATTATAAACAGTTTACAATGAAGAGAAATATGAAGTAATAAGTAATAAATTTGAATGAATATACAGACTGATGCATCTCTGCGTTACACAGGTATTACAGTACAACGTTCCAGGAGGAAAGAAAACTCGTGGCTTAACGTTAGTTTACGCCTATAAACTACTAGCACCAAGTGATCAACTTACGCAAGAAAACATTCGTTTAGTACGGATCTTAGCATGGTGCATAGAATTGGTGCGTAATTCAATTTTTCTATTCTTTACGACACTGATATATTTGATAAATTAATTCGAATTAATAAAACACAGTATATGAAGACATTTATTTGTTATACAGATGCAAGCCCATTTCCTCGTGATAGATGACATACAGGCTGTCTCTTATACA